CCTCCTCCTCGTCCTCTTCGTCCTCCTTCTCTTCGTCCTCCTCCTCCCCCCCTCCAACTTATCGTGGTGGTGGTGGAAAACACGCCCATCAAACTTGGCTGCCCCTGTACGTCCTCTGGAGCCGTTAGGCCTTCGAAATCGCTCGGAGCACTGACGAGGGCCCACCGGCCCCAGGAAAGAAGTCGCGCGGAGGGGGGGGGGGAGCGTTTTCAAGAGGTGAAGACCCCGGGGCCGTCGCCAGTTCCCGCGCCCTCTCGAGGGGCCTCCTGGGGCCTCCTGACGTCTTGAAACACCCGTTTCGGGTTGTCTCGCCACGCTTTTGGAGCCCTCGAGGCGCCTCCTGGAGACGTCCTGGGTAAATCGGGGTCTGGAGGCTGTCTTGGCTGGTCGTGGGACGCAGTGGGGCCGTCCCGGAACTCCGGGGGCCGCCCCTGGGAGGGCCAATTTTTGACACCGCTCACGAGAATCGCGGCCTCCGAGAGGGGGAGAGGGAAATCGAGTACCCCCCCTCTTTTGACCGACCGCCTCCAAGATGGCCCCAAGAGGCCCTCCACGGCCCCCAAGAGATCCCGAAGAGGGCTCCAAGAGACACCCGAGAGGCACCCAAGAGGCCCCAGAGCAGCCTCAGAGAGCCCAAGATAACCGCCAAGATGGCTCAGATAGCCCAAGCTGGCTCAAGATGTCTCCCAAGATGCTCCAAGCGGCCCAAAGACCGCTCCGAGACGGCTCGAGATGGCCACGGAGCCTCGTAAGCCTCCCTCGACACTTGACTATGCGTGTCTCTTCCTCTCTCCCCACGTAAACTCTCACTCATGGGCATCGTTTCTGGTTTGGCCGGTGGGGATACGCGAAGCGTTCAGAATTAGATCTTAATTCGATTACAGAAGAACTATGATTGGAACCATCTTGTTCTAGAACCAAGTCCATTACAATTCGATTATACTGACATTCCAAGTGTAATCAAAATTGAACCGGCTGGACCTGAGATCTGCTACATTGAGATTGCAATCATATCCGTTCCAATGGGACGACAAGTGCAATCACCTAGATCTGAGATCTGATCCATCCCAATGCGAGAAGATTCATATAGGAATCTGAGTGGAATCATCTGGATCTGGAATCTGCCCAATTTCAATCAGATTGCAACTGTCTTCCAATAAGAATCCGCTTGGAATCGGCTAAATCTGGGATCCGCTTCAATTCAAACTAAATTCTAATTCGCTTACAGTAAGGATCCAATTGAAATCAGCGGGATGTGGGATCTGCTCAATTCCAGAAAGATTCGAATTCGATTCCAATGGGACTCCAATTTGAATCAGCTGGATCTGTAATCTGCTCCATTCCAATTACATTCGGACTAGATTCCAATAGGAATGTATGTGGAACCAGCTGGATCTAGGATCTGCCCCATTCCAATGAATTCTTCGCTCGATTCCTCTAGGAATTGAATTTGAATATGCTGGATCTGGGATCATTGCCTACGATTGCATGGACTGCCATTCAGCTGGATGTAGCGAAACCAAAGAGGATCACAAGAGCTAAACAATGGAATGTGTTGAAGAATCACATGATTGAGAGGGCGGTGATACAACCTCCACCCTCCTGAGGAGGGGAGATCTGGAGTAACAACCTCCCGCCTCCCCCTGAAAGGGGGTCGTTAAAGGGGGGTTGTCCATCGGGGGTCTGGGAACTGCCACGCCATACTGTCGGACCTCAGAACGTCGAAGGAACCTGATCGGACAAGAACGGGAAGCGCCACTTTAGTCTAATGGGCGTGTTAGGCGGAGAAAAAGGAAAGGAAGGCGAGAGCAGAGGAGGCGATGACGAGGACGACGTGGAGAACGTGAGGATAGCGAGGAGGAGCATGATGAAAACGAGAAGAAAGAGAAGCACATGGACGAGGACGAATAGAACGAGGGCGAGTACGAGGATGGGTGCGGAGGACGATGACGACGACTACGACGTCGACGGAGGACAGTAAGAGGCAATTGGAGAAGGACATTGAATCAGGAGAGGACCCTTGTGACCCTATCGGGCTACCCTAGGGGCTCCTAGCGCCGCGCGTAACTGCCACGCCATACTGTCGGATCTCAGAACGTCGGAGAAATCCGCCACCGTGCCCCCTGGCAGGTTGAGGCGTCCTGAAATGTCAAGTGCTGTCTGGTAGGGTTTTCGTAATCTTCTAAAAGATCCCCCCCTCTCCGGGCCGCACCTCGCTGCGTGCACCGGCCGTGCTCCCGCGGGGTCCCTGGGCGGCCATGGCGCCACCCTGGGGCTCTCCAAGGATTCCATGACAGCCCCAGAGGCCTCGCCGAACGATCGCTCGAAGTCGCCCAAGGTGGCCTCAAGATGGCGTAAGAGGCTTCCAAGGCACCTCAAGTCTACCAAGAGGGCCGCCAAAGGCAAAAATCATTGATTTTCCCTGCGTCTTCTGATGATTTTGGCGTTCTCGCCATTTCAACTTTCCGACGCTCAAAGGCAGACCACCCCAAAACTGCCCAAGAGGCCTCCAAGAAGGCCCTAAGATGGCCTAAGAGCGCCCCAATACGGAGCTCCGCCGAAGGTCCCAATGGCTGAGTTCGCGTACGTCCCCCCCACTCATTGTGGCACACCCTTCACACGTACCGTGTCCTCATAGGAAGTTCCACCAAAGGCCCCAGTGGCGCAGTGTACATGCGTCCCCGCCACACATTTCGGCACACAACTCACACGTTGCGTGGCCTCATGGGGAGCTCGACCGATGCCCCAGTAGCACAATTTACATGGGTCCCCGCCACCCATTACGGCACACCCCTCGCACGTTTCGTGGTCCCATAGGGAGCTCCACCAAAGGCCCCAGTGGCACAATTCACATGCGTCCCCGCCGCCCATTTCGGCACAGCCCTCATACGGTTTTTGGCACCGTGGGGAGCCCATACCCGCCCCTGCCCGCACTGCCCCGCGCTTCGTTCTTGCTGCGGCGCGCTGCCCACGAGAGCTAGTTGGAGTTTGCGCGCCCCCATCCTTCGTCTCATCTCCCTCGCGGTACTCGCAGCTGCATCTGGTTGCGTCCTTCGTCAGGCTAATTGTCCCGAGCGTCGCACCCTCCACGGGGGGAAGTAGCCGTCGAGCCCCGTCCGGAGAAAACAATCGTCGGGAAACAGAGGCCCGGCCAATTTCTGTCGACAGCACCATTCGGCCAAGCAGGCGCCGCCCGAGAGGGAACACGAACCGAAAATCCAAGCCTTCCGCCCCAAGCGGCCCCCAGGAGGCCCCAATCGGCGCCCAAGAGGCCCCAAGAGGCCTCCAGGACGCCCTTCAACGGCCCCCAAGAAGCCTCAAACTGCTTTCAGGAGGCCCCCGAGAGGCCTCCCACGAGATTCCAACGAACATCCACTAGGCTTAACCCGCAGCCCAGGCACTCTGGCGGGTCTTGCCGTAGGCAGCTGTGGATATCTGCATGCATGTTCGGCCATTGGATGCGTTGGGGGGCCCAGGGCCTGTCAGAAAACGGCTCGGGATGGAAACCTGGCCCAAGAGGGAGGGGGCCGAAAGGACCAGGGCCCTGAGAGCCGAACATGTTGGTTAAGTTGTCGGAGAAAGACGAATCCAGGACGAGGATCAAATCTGGTGAGGGTAAATCTCCGAGATCAATGAGATCAAATCTGGTGAGGGTAAATCTCTAAGTTGTCGGAGAAAGACGAATCCAGGACGAGGATCAAATCTGGTGAGGGTAAGTTGTCGGAGAAAGACGAATCCAGGACGAGGATCAAATCTGGTGAGGGTAAATCTGGACGAGGATCAAATCTCTGAGATCCGGCGGCTCTGGAGGATGTATCGGGCGCCGCGGCCTTCCTAGAGCGTCCCATAAAGCCCTGAAAGCGCTCCGGAACGCTCTGGAACGGATGTGTCCTCGTCCTTGCCGCGAGCGAGCGAAACACGCGGTCAAGCATGGCACCGCGCAGTTCTCGCTCTCTCTCTCTGCAGCGAGATCCTCTCCCGAGCGAGGGCAGCCGCGGCGACGATGGCACCCACAAGAGGTGCCGAGAGGCGAGAGCGGGGGAGGTGAGAGCGTCGGTGTCGATAGCCTTTTCCTGCTCCTTTGGGGCACGGCTGGGTGCTGCGGCCCCCTCGGGCCACGGCGGCCGCATCAGCAGGGGCAGCCCCGAACTGCCCCGAGGCAGGACGCTGCTGCCGCTAGGAGTCCACCGGGGAGTCCTCTGGGGAGCCGACGCACCGAAAAGAGAGCACTCGGAGGCGCGCCAGAGCGGGCGGGCGACCCCTCCAGCCAGCGACCCGACAAAAAGCACGACGGCACGCTCTTCCCCATTGCGAGCGTCTTCTCATGCGGCGTTTCGACTTTGGGCGGAGCTGGGGGGGAGGGGGGAGGGGGGTCTGGCCTCGGACCTCTATTTCATGCGACTGTTTGCAGCCGTGCGTGCGTCCGGTGGGGGAGACTCCACCTGCTTGAAACATGCGCCAAAAGCAGCCAACATCTGTTCCACGGCGGGGGGGAGGGGGGGTGCGAAGGCCCGCGCCGACCGGCAAAACAATGCATAAGGAAACGACTACATGTCGCATTTGATTGTGATTTCCGGGGCCTGGGGCTGCCAAAAGCAACTCGGGAGGATACGCCAGCCCCAGGCGTCCAAGGAAGCCTCGGGCCGCCGGGAAACTGGAGGTATGTTGCATCCTCGGGGGACCTTGTCTGTACCGTCGAGGCTCTTTCCACGTCGGATCCATGTCGAATCCATGTCGGCCTCTTCGGATCCTTGTCAAACCCGTGTCGAGTCCGCGGAGGGGGGGGGCGAGGGACCGCGCCGACCGGCAAAACGATGAGTAAGAACACGATCATCTCGCGAGAAGGCTAGGCGCTGCTTCGACGGAGCGGCCCGTTCCCTGAGATTTCCAGGAAGGCCTCTGGGACGGCAGGGGGGGGCCTGAGAGGCACAGCGCCCCCTCAGAAAACCACCCGCCCTCGCCCCCTCTGGCGCGCCGCCGAAGCACGCCGCCACGGTCGATCAGTTGTTCTCCTTGAACTTGTGGATGACGGTCTCCTCCTGGACGGCCTTGTTCGTATTGCTCTTGAGCTGGAAGAGGCCAGAGCCCTCAGGGTGCTCCATCAGGTGGGTGGTCGTGACCTCGAACTCCTTAAAAGGCACAGGAACCTCATGGTTCTCGGGCTTGTCGCAGGCCGTGTCCTTGGCACAGCCCGTGCCGATGGATCCTGCGAACATGAGCTCGGGCGGCGATTCCACGCCCGTCCCGAGGAGCGTGAAATTAGACTTCGAGTGATCCGTCGCCCACTGACCAATCTCGATGCGGGCCTCAGGGTGCCCTGGAACCTCCTGGCTGTAGGCAAGGTAGAACCGCGTGATACCCACTTTGACTCCGTCCTCACGGACTGGCTCATACTCAGGCCAAGGGATGTAGCACTCGTCCTTCGGGTCGTCGCAACCGAATGACTGCAGAAAGTAGCGGGTGACAAGGGGTTGGCCTGGCTCCTCTACAGGTGCAAGGTCTTTCTTGATTTTGAAGGTCATGAACGTGCCGACCTTTTCAGCGAGGGAATCCAAAATGGGCCATCCCGTGCGAGGCGCCAAAAGGTTTGTGAGCGAGCCGAGGCCGAACGTGTCCTGGTGCCAACCGATCGTTAGCTCTTCCACACGCGAATCGCCGTCGCACTTGAAGTCCAACTTCTGGCACGTGGGGCTAAACATGCCACACGGATTCTCGATCCACTTCCTCATACCAAGGCGGGTTCCACACAAGAGCTCATAGGCTGTCTTGTCCTCGCTTGACGCGGTACGAAGACCTGCATCGACGCCAGGGACCACGGCGGACCCCAGTAACAGGAACGCCGCCAAGGACGAGGGACGCGAAGCAGCCATGATGGGCGTCCAATGGTTGGCTCGGGCCACGTCAACAGTGCAAAAGGATGCGTCAGCACACGCGGGAAAAAGTTACTGCTCGAGCCCGAGTCGCTACAGAGTGGGATTACGAGGGCAAAGGGGACAATGGCGACTCCAATGTTGCAGCATGGCCCCACTGGAGTCTGACACTGTCCCATAAGCTGGTGGGGAGGCGGCAAGTCCCGCCAGTAGTCCCTGCGACTCCTGGCTTCCTCCACGCAGTCCAAAAGTCCGATCAAACCTCTAGGCGTAGTATAGATCTGCCACCGTGCCAACGGCACGCTGGGGCGCGTTAGGGTGTGTATAGATTGTCTGGTCAGGCTGGGTTTCTGCAAATCCGCCACTGTGCTGTAGGCATTGAATGGAACATTCTCACAACTTCAAAATCTCGGAATTGATGGGGGATAACTGAATGCCTATGAATGGCCAGTTGCCGCACCTCAAAAAACTTTGCGCTCGACTCCCTGGGTTTGCCTCATCTCTCTTCTGGAGGCCAAAGGGCACCGAGACAGGCAAACCCAAAGTGGCCTAGGAGCCGACCAGCCTATTGAAGTGCCCAGACCCCGCGGAGCCCCCATGAGGCTTCAAATTCGCCGGCCCAACGTACCAGAGACGTGCTACGATCTCCGGTAGCATCTATATAATATTTCTACTTCGCGCGCGCGCGGGGCGGCCCCTGGGGGTCCCCGGACCAAAAGTACCCTGGGCGCGGCCTGGGCGCGGCCCGGGAGACTCCCCCAGGGCTCTCAGGAACGCCCCAAGGGCCCCAAGAGGCACCCAACACGGTCCCAGAGAGGCCCGAGACGCCCGCAGACCGCCCCATAACGCCGAAGCTGGCATCCAGACGGCCCAAGAGGCCTCCAAAATGGCCCTAGAGGCCCGCAAGATGCCCCAAGAGGCCTCCAGGAGCACCCCCAAGAGAACCCACAGAAGCAAAATTCATTGCTTGCCCTTGGGTTTTGGACAGATTGAGGCGTTTCCACCTTCTCGGCTTCCCGACGCCCCTAGACGGCTCAAGAGGCCCCCAAGATCGCCCCAAGAGGCCCCAAGCGGCCCCTAAGAGGCCCCCAAGACGGCCAAAGACGGCCCGAGACGGCCCAAGAAGCCCCCAAGACGGCCCAAGAGGGCCCCAAAAATGCCTCAAGAGGGGCCCCAGAAAGGGAACACGAAACAAAAATCTCGAATTCTCGGCCTTCAGAGGCCCCCAGGAAGCCCCAAGAGGATCCCAAGAGGCCCCAAGAGGCCCCCAAGAGGCACCCAAGACGCCCCCAGGAAGTCCCCAAGAGGCCCCCTAGAGGCCCCCAATCGCCCTCAGGAGGCACCCCAAATGCCCCCCGAGCACTCAGCCAGCCAGCGATCATCATCCTTCTCCTCCTCCTCCTCCTCCTCCTTCTCCTCCTCGTCCTCCCTCATCTCTCCTCCATCCTCCCTCCTTTCTCCTCCCGCCTCCCTCCTCCTCCTCCTCCTCCTCCTTCCTCTCCTCCCCTCCACTCCTCCTCCTCCTCACTCCTCCTCCCTCCCCTCCCTCCTCCTCCTCCTCCTCCTCCTCTCCTCCTCCTCCTCCTCCTCATCCCATCCAATCCCACCAGCCTCTCTGGGCGTCTGTGGTTTAGAGCGTTTCCTCTTCGACCCCTCCTTCTTCTCCTTCGGGGAGGGGTTTACCCCTCCCCCTTCCCCCTCCCCATGGACCTGGACAAGGGGTTCCACGAGTCGTCGGAGCGTCCAAAACGGCCTCGGCGAGAAAGCCAAAATCATTGATTTTACTAGGGTTTGGGTCCCATGTTGGCCTCCTGGGGGGGGGACGCGAATTGTGACCATCCCCTTCTTTGATCGATCTCCTCCAAGATGGCCCCAAGAAGCGCCCAGGAGACCCCCAGAGAACCCAAGTTGGCCCCAAGATGGCCCCAAGAGGCCCCCAAGAGGCCCCCAGGAGGCCCCCAAGAGACCCCCAAGAGGCCCCAAGAGACCCCCCAGAGGCACCCCAGATGCTCCAAGAGGCCTCGGCGATGATGCCAAATCATTGATTTTAAGAAGGTGTTAGCCACATGCTGGCCTCCTGGGGGGGGACTGATTAAGATGACTCCAAGAGCGCCTGGGAGAGCCCAAATTAACTTCCAAGATGGCTCAAGATATCTCAAGATGTCTCATAATGGCTTCCTCTGTGTGCTGCCCACTTCCCTGATCGAGGCAATTCCTCTGGGCATCGTTTCTGGATGGGCTGGTGGGGATTATTTTTTTGTTGGTCGCGGCCACGAGACAAGGGTCAGGCGGCGAAGGCAACGTCCGGGCCACGGGCGAGGCTAATTGGCTAGCTGGTGGGGATTCGCGAAGCGTCAACAATTTCTCTTCGACACAATACAAATTCTTCGTTTGAAAGGATGCAGGGGTCCCAGAGAGGGAACACGAAAAAACAGTTCGAGACACCAGCCCTAAGAGGCCCCCAGGAGGCCCCAAGAGGCCCCCGACAGGCCCCTACAGGCGATCAGGAAGCTCCCAAGAGGCCCCCTAGCGATCCCAGGAAGCCCTCCAAATGCCCCCCCAGCACCCAAGCAAGTGCCAGCGATCCTCCTCCTCCTCCTCCTCCTCCTCCTTCCCCTCCTCCTCCTCCTCCACCAACCTCCCTCCTCCATGCTCCCCGGGCCTCCATGCTCCCCGGGCCTCCCTCCCTCGCCGCCGATTTACACATCCGCCATCCCATCCCCCCCCCACCCCCGCTGCAGCTCCTCGCTCTACCATGCAGTCTCACTCGTCCTACGTCTTCTCCGCCTCCACCTCCTCCAACTATCTGTCTCTCCCGCTCACGCTCTCCATCCAATAGCCTACCCCCACACGCAAGCCCGGGAACACACTGCGAGAAGAGGAAGTAAGAAGTGACGAGCCTCGGGAGGTAGACAGCGCACACTAGGACAAGAACCTTACCCTGTGACGTACCCAACCCATTCTATACATGTGGCGATTATACTCAGGATCACTCAATGCTGACTGGCATTATGAAGGGCCCGCAGTGCGCAAGAAGGGCACCCAACAGTGATTTCAGAAGAGCGCAGCAAGAAGAGGAACCGCAACTATACAACATGGAAACACCAGGGCGTTGAAAGAAACGCGTATGACGTACCTCCGAATGATCCGCGTGGGACGTACCTCCGCTGGGCCTCCCAGGAGCCCACGAAAGTGGCGACAATTGCGCAGATCGCAAGCCCACCATGGGGCGGTGAGGTCCCGAGGTGGTCCGCGTGGGCCGTGCCTCCGCTGGGCCTCCCAGGAGACCACGAAAGTGGCGACAATTGCGCAGATCGCAAGCCCCCCAGGGGGCGGCGAGGTCTCGAGGTGGTCCGCGTGGGACGTACCTCCGCTGGGCCTCCCAGGAGCCCACGAAAGTGGCGACAATTGCGCAGATCGCAAGCCCACCAGGGGGCGGCGAGGTCCGAGGTGATCCGCGTGGACGCACCTCCGCTGGGCCTCCCAGGAGCCCACGAAAGTGGCGACAATTGCGCAGATCGCAAGCCCCCCAGGGGGCGGCGAGGTCCCGAGGTGGTCCGCGTGGGACGTGCCTCCGCTGGGCCTCCCAGGAGCCCACGAAAGTGGCGACAATTGCGCAGATCGCAAGCCCCCCAGGGGGCGGCGAGGTCCCGAGGTGGTCCGCGTGGGACGTACCTCCGCTGGGCCTCCCAGGAGCCCACGAAAGTGGCGACAGTTGCGCAGATCGCAAGCCCCCCAAGGGGCGGCGAGGTCCCGAGGTGGTCCGCGTGGGACCCACCTCCGCTGGGCCTCCCAAGAGCCCACGAATATGGCGACAATTGCGCAGATCGCAAGCCCTCCAGGGGGCGGCGAGGTCCCGAGGTGGTCCGCGTGGGACGTACCTCCGCCAGGCCTCCCAGGAGCCCACGAAAGTGGCGACAATTGCGCAGATCGCAAGCCCCCAGGGCACCGCGAGGTCCCGGCGAGGTCCCGAGGTGGTCCGCGTGGGACGTACCTCCGCTGGGCCTTCCAGCAGCCAACGAAAGTGGCGACAATTGCGCAGATCGCAAGCCCACCAGGGGGCGGCGAGGTCCCGAGGTGGTCCGCGTATGACGTACCTCTGCTGGGCCTCCCAGGAGCCCACGAAAGTGGCGACAATTGCGCAGATCGCAAGCCCCCCGGCGGCGAGGTCCCGAGGTGGTCGCGTGGGACCCACCTCCGGCTGAGGGGGAAGTGAGTCCCGATGTCGGGATGGACCTCCACATGGCTCCCAGGAGCCCACGAAAGTGGCGACAATGCGCAGATCGCAAGCCCCCCAGGGGGCGGCGAGGTCCGAGATGATCCGCAGTGGGACGTACTCCGCTGGGCCTCCCAGGAGCCCACGAAAGTGGCGACAATTGCGCAGATCGCAAGCCCCCCAGGGGGCGGCGAGGTCCCGAGATGATCCGCGTGGGACGTACCTCCGCTGGGCCTCCCAGGAGCCCACGAAAGTGGCGACAATCGCGCAGATCGCAAGCCCCCCCGGGGGCGGCGAGGTCCCGAGGTGGTCCGCGTGGGACCCACCTCCGCTGGGCCTCCCAGGAGTCCACGGATATGCTGACAGTTGCGCAGATCGCAAGCCCCCAGGGGGCGGCGAGGTCCCGAGGTGATCCATGTGGGATGTACCTCCGCAGTGGCTCCCAGGAGCCCACGAAAGTGGCGACAATTGCGCAGATCGCAAGCCCCCCAGGGGGCGGCGAGGTCCCGAGATGATCCGCGTGGGACGTACCTCCGCTGGGCCTCCCAGGAGCCCACGAAAGTGGCGACAATCGCGCAGATCGCAAGCCCCCCCGGGGGCGGCGAGGTCCCGAGGTGGTCCGCGTGGGACCCACCTCCGCTAGGCCTCCCAGGAGTCCACGAATATGCTGACAGTTGCGCAGATCGCAAGCCCCCCAGGGGGCGGTGAGGTCCCGAGGTGATCCATGTGGGATGTACCTCCGCAGTGGCTCCCAGGAGCCCACGAAAGTGGCGACAATTGCGCA